AAAAAATCACAATAGGACTATACTCTTGACTAAGTTCGACCTATTTCATTAATTGAACCTCTTAAAAAATGTTTAACAAAAGTATTTACCAAACGTCTTGACAATATTATTAACAAAAATAATCTCCTAAGCAATTTAAACTTTGCAGCTACCTCAAACTCCTCTACTTATACACCAATTCAAATTCTAAATAACACAATTGAATACTATAAACAAAATAATCAAGAAGCCTGGATTCTCTTCTAAGATATGTCTAAAGCTTTTGACAAAATCAATATTAACTGACTAGTAGACTCTTGTAAAAGAATTGGAATGCTACAAAAATATACAAACTTTATTACTAATCTCCATCAAAACTGTAAAGCATGTGTTATTACTGCTTATAGTTTAACAGAACCAATAAACCTTCTTTCTGGTATTGAACAAGGAGAAACCTATTCACCTCTACTTTGGAAAATATATTATGATCCAATTTTAACTTATATAAATAACAAATATCAAAACTTTTTTCTAAAAATTCAAATCGTATCTCCTATTGAACAAACTTTTCAAAATATTTCTCTACCTATTACTATTTCCCCTCTAGCATTCATGGATGATACAGTCTGGTACTGTGAAACTTCCTCTTCTCTACAACAACTACTTATCAATGTTAACAAACTCTACCAATTAAATAATATACAAATTAATCCTTTCAAATCTGATCTTCTACATATTACCTCAAAAAAATCCAAAAATTCTAATTCTACAACTCAACTACTATTACAAATAAGCTTCAACAATACACTTTTAATACCAAGGAAATTCACAGATACAATTAGATATCTAGGTATCTACTTTGATAGCACAAACTCAACAAAACCCACAATCAATCTAATCTCCCTAAAAATAAACAATTTTCTTAAACTCATCCAATTCAAAAAACTTTTACCTTTACAAATAACTAGACTATTCAATACTATTTTAGCTCCTACAATAGAATATCTTCTTCAAATAGTTCCTCTAACTAATTCAAAAATAACTAAACTTTCTACTACTATTACATTACAATTTAAACATATACTACATCTTTCTAGAAATATCAATAATGATATTTTATTAAATCTTCTCCTTCTTAATCTCTCTACTATCAAAAAACTACTAACTTATACAAGTTGTAATATTATCGAAAAAACAGTTAATTCATCATCTCTCCTAAAACAAATCTTTGAATATAGAATCAAAGGATGGCTAAGTAAAATCTGGTATTCTACTATCTCCAAAGAAATAATTCAACAACACAAATAAAAACTTAACAATTTCACTTGCATTACACATCTTCTGTATATTTCTAATTTCAATATAAATATAAATAATCTTAATATTAATATATAATCTCCCTTTAATAATTCTAAACTTAACTTAATCTACAACTTTCTTCCTTCAAACTCTAATACTTCTACAATTCAAAGTCTTAAAAACAATAATATTCTCTTTCTTGAACAAGTTCTCACAGCTACCAACTTTCATCTCTTACCATAGAAAAATATCTATCTCCACACAAATAAAACTTTATATAGTAGAATACCCTCATGGTACAACAACCTCTGTAACAACTTAAAAAACAACTCTGTCTTATCCTTATAGCCTCAAATACAAACTTTACAAATAAATCTATTCATCAACACACTCAAACTAATATCTACTCCATCAACTACTTTACTCAAAAACAACTAGACTATATTCAAAACACAAACACAAATTAATATTAGAAAAATTACTTCTATTAATTTAAATAATCTTATCTTATAACACTACACCTTTACTTCTAATACTATTAGATATATAAATCTCCTACCTTCTAACCAAACTACTAAAATCTCCTCCTCATCTACAATTAACTTTACTTGCAAAAGTCAAAAAGAAAAACAATATTATAAAATAGCTATTGACTACAAAGAAATCTTAGCACTCTCTCAACTATACCCATTACTATATCATCTAACTCCTACTATTACTTCTTAAATTCATATTCAAAACCCAATATGCAAACAAATTTTTAACTCAATTCAAACACTATCTTATCAACTCGAACTAATAAATCTATATCACAAAATACTCAAAATGAACTTACTAAATAATTTATATTTCTACACAGATGCTTCTATACAAAATCTTCTCTCTTCATACATAAAAGCTAGTATTGGTTAGATTCTAGAAAATGATACAAGTATCAAGTTTAATGCAAACTCAACTAATATACATAATACTACATGTGCAGAGCTTGAACCTATTATCTACATACTCCTTATTCTTCCAAACAATCTCAATATCTACATTCATTTAGACAATCTTTTTGCTATTCAATTCTTAAAAAAATCATTACTATCTAATATCTCAAATACTCAAATTAAAAATAAAAACTGGAATATTCTACATATTATAAACTATCTTACTAAAAACAAAAATATTTCACTCTCATTTTACAAAATTAAATCTCACTCTAAAAATACCTTTTATTAAAATGCTGATCTCTTAGTAAAAAAAGGTACAAACTAACAACCTATTGTACTAAATCTTAATTCTTTCAACTTTCCAACTTTTTTCTATTGGCATAAATTTCTTATCTCTATACAAATAAAGAAATTCTACAAAAATATTATTCTCACTGAAACCACTAACTGTTTTTTGCAACTTCAAAATATTAACAACATTTCTAAATTCAATATAAAACTATTTTTTAATATTATTAACTTCTAAAATCTTAATTCATATCTCTACACTCTTTACATAAAAATCCTATTTAATAATTTACTTACAGTAGCTAACTTAAACCTTCGACTACTATCTATATACCTTACTCCAAACTATATTCATTGCAACTTACCTAAAAACTTATAACATCTTCTTCAATACTCACAAACTTCAAATTACTCACAAATATTATTACAAACTATTTCTTAAACTCTGTTACAACTAAATATTAACAATATACTCTCACAAAATCTTTACTAAATCATTATTCTACAAAACAACAATTCTTCTCATGCCAACTACATATTATACTTAATTCAAGAAACTTTTCTCATAAATATTATTACTCAACTACACTTCTTCCTATACAGAAATACTACTTCCTTTTGTACTATATTCTCAAATCTTCTACTCAAATAGTTTAATTAAAAAATCTAGTAGTCAAGAAATAAATATCAATATGACTAGGAAATCCTAAGAAATATCACTAACAAATCCAAATGAACAAAAATAACTTACACCTCAAATCTCATAAATACTTCAACACATCATCAAAACTCAACTACTATCATTAATAGTAATATCAATACAAATATATAAAAATGGTTTATTTAAAATGTTTCAATACTTTCTGTATTTAACTAACTATAATTACTAAATTTAAAGTTTCCCTTCTTCCTTTTCTTTAACTAGTAGTAGCTTTGTTTTAACTTAACTTAAACTAGTTTATAAATAGAAAATTAAAAGTAATATGTTACACTTATAGTGCTATATAGAAATAATTAATAGTTTAAATCTAATATCATCTTGATATTTATTGTATAACTATTTGCTTTCTATATTTAATATATTAAATAATTAAAAAAAAAAAAAAAAAAAAAAAAAAAAAAAGTTTGCTAATAATATTAAATAGTTCAGAATTAATATATATATTTAAAACTAATATTAATTAGTAGAACTATTTAGTTATAGGTTTTTATAAAGTTTTATTAGTAGTATATATAATAAATTTCTATAATAATAGAGTAGTATAGTTGTAGTTAGTAATTTGTTCAGTAGCAAAGATATTTATTTTGTTAGTTTTTGCTTTAATAACATATAAGTTTGGAGGTCCAGTAATCTAGTATAGTGGTTAGGTTGTTGAACTACTATGCAATAAGTCTGGAGTTCAAATCCTACTATCAATGAATTTGAATAATTTCTTAAACCTTGTAATATGTTACAGTAAACTCTGTTTATTTCTGAGGGTATACTCCTGTAAATTGAATTGTACCAAATTGATCAGAACTTGGAAGTATAGTGTAATATTATATAAATAAATCTTAATAGGAGATACAAGTAGGAGATCTACATAGTAGAAATCCTGAGTCAGTGAAGTAATATAGCCTTCCAACAGGACTACATTAGCTAAAGTCTGATCCAAGAAGAAAACTCAGTTTAATAAAGATAGAAGGTTATAAGGTCTCTGAGCAAAAGGTAACTAGAACTAGCTAAATACTGAAAAAGAACTAGGTTAACTGACTAGTAGAGGACTATGGTAGAACCTAGAATTGTATAAATATCTACAAGGGTCTAAACTAGGTAAATTCATAAAATAAGTATAGACTGCTCTAGTAGGTTTGCTTCAAAATTAACTGGCTCTGCGATACTAGTAATGTATCTAATATAATATATCCTAAGAGGATCTAAGCCATTCTGAATAAATAAATCTGTAATAAGCTAGCTAGCTTAAGCAGTTAGGTATTGTATTAACATTAAGTTAGATCTATATGAGTTAATGAACAGAGAGTTTAAATAGATAACTCACAGACAGGTTACAGATATGGCAGCATAGTGTAGAACTAATTAGGTGATCTAATGTCTGTGTAGTAGACTACTTAAAATAGACAATGACTAAAGTTATATATATAGCTTATTATACACTCTTTATGTAATTACAAACAGTAGGAATTATTAATGTATAATCCTGTTGACAATTCTAATAAAATTCCTTCAGCAATATAAACTGCCTTAACAAAAAAAAAAAAAATATATATATATAAATTTGAATATTATTTAATAAAGATTTACACGTACTCTCTCCTAACCACATAAAGTTAGGCTTGAGAGTATACAACTTTTACAAAATATTCTATACTAAAGAATCTAATATTATTTTTTCCAACAGAACTCAGGCTTTAGCCCAAGTTCTAAAAAAACGTAAACTTTGGTGTTTAGAAAATAGAAGAAACAAAAAAATTATGCTCTTGGCTAGCTTACAAATAAAGAATAACAATAAAGAAAACTCTGATATGACAGTGAATACAACTGAAAAAAATCTTAATAACAATATCTTGAAGCAAAAAGAACCTCTAAAAAGCCTTTCTACTTGGGATGAAAAAGAAACTCAAGATTTTGAAAGAGAAAAAACAAACTTACTTCAAGAAATGAAAGAAAACAGAGACAACAAAAACAAAACAACTGAAAAAAAATACGTGATTCTTTGCATAATAATTTAGACATGACCAAAACAACAAATACATGTGTCATGTCAACCAATGAACCTCATATAGAAACTCCTACAAATGCTCTGAGTTTTCAAGGGAACCAAAAGAAATCTTTTTTTTTTTTTTTTTTTTTTTTTATTGATACAACATGGCATCGGCCGAACTTTTTATTGGTATTGATAGTGAGTAAATGATTACATATTGTGAGAGTACAACTAGCCACACGTACAACTTTAGATTGTCTAATTTAAGTAGTCCGCCCGAAGGTTCTACACTAGCTACCATACCTGAAATCTATTTGAAGATTACCTATTTAAACCCTCTGGCCCTATAACACTTACTCGTATTCTACCTTGTTTTACCAAGTTCGCCTAACCCTGTGCTACTTCTCCAGGAAGACACCCGAGCAAGAATTTCTTCAAAAAGAAATTAAAGAAATAGAAGAAAAAAGAATTATTAGAGAATCCTATAGACCCTGGTCTTCTCCAGTAGTAATTGTGCTAAAAAAGGATAGTAGAAAAAGACTTTGTATTGATTATAGAAAGCATAATACTGTTACAGAAAAAGATGTTTATCCTTTACCTACAATTCAAGAAGTTTTAAGTTCATTTAATGAAGCTTCTTGGTTTACTAGCTTAGACTTGGCTAGTGGATATTAGCAGGTTGTTGTAAAAGAAGAAGATAAAAAGAAAACTGCATTTGTTACTAAATTTGGAATATATGAGTTTAATGTTATGCCTTTTGAACTCACAAATACTCCTACTACTTTTCAACGCTTAATAGATCGAATTCTTCACTATATATCAACAAATTTGTAGTTGTATATTTAGATAATATAACTATATATTTACCAACTTTCGAACAACACCTTAAGCATGTACAACAAATATTTACTATTCTTCAAGAAGCCAACCTTAAATTAAATCTGACAAAATGTTATTTCTTCCTAAATAACATTAAATTTCTAGAACACATAGTAGGAAAAGATGAAATTAAAACTAATAAAAGATTAGTAGAAAAGATTAAAAACTTTCCGTACCAACAAACCTTAGACAATTAAGAGGATTTCTAGGAATTGCCTCCTATTATCGATGATTTATTCAAGGATTTTCTAAAATTGCTAAACCTTTAACCCAACTATTAAAGAAAGATGAACTATATATTTGAACAGAACAATATGAACAAGTGTTTAATACTCTAAAGAATTATCTTATAACTGATCTTATCTTACGATATTCTGATTTTAATAGATCTTTCTATTTATATACCAATGCTTCAACTTTAGGATTAGAAGCTGTTCTATCACAATTAGATGATGATAACAAGGAATATGTTATTGCTTATGCTAGTAGAAGTCTGAATAATGCTGAACAAAATTATTCTACTACTGAATTAGAATACCTAGTTGTAATTTGGGTGATTGAACATTTTTATCAATACCTTGAAACTAAACCATTCTTTCTTGTTACTGACCATACTGCTTTAAAATGGTTAAGGACAACTGAATTGAAAGAGAAAAGAGCAAGATGGATTATGAGATTAGAACCTTATAATTTTATAATAATTCATCATGCTGGAAGAAAACATAGTAATGCTAATACATTATCAAGAATGTATGAGAAATCTATTAATATGTTATCTGTTGATGATGAGGAATTACCATCAAAAGAAGAAGCCTTACAAGCTGCTATTCAAAGAAATTTAGAGTTTTCTTTATATAGAAATTAAAGAGTAGAACAATTGTCTAATATTCTTAAACTACAATTACCCTCTCAAGCTTTATATGATACTCAACCACATTATAAAATAGAAGTATCAAAAACTGGATTTAGATTTGATAATGAAGCAGAATTTGACTGGACTTATATTTACTTCTTAAATGAGAAGTTCAAAAAAACTCAAGGAAAAGCAACTAGACCTTTAAGTTAGAAAGGCTCTAATGCCCAATGCTGGTGTTGGAATATTTTACTTAGACAAAGTAGTAAATGTTATCAATGCGAGGCTGATTGTAAAGTATAAATTACTTTAAAACAAGTATCTTTACAAAAATTACTTGTATATTGTTCAGAAAACTTACCTTCTCAGTATTATTAAACTTTTGAAAACTATGAAGTTTTCATGATGGCTATTGATAATAAATCTCCTGCAAACTCTCTAACTCTAATGAACCCTAATCATTACCAAGACATGGTAACAACCCTTGAATCGATCTTATATGAAAATTATAGTTTAACTTCATATTAAGACATAGAGTTTACCTCAAATAGAATTCATTATAATGGAATGTACTGTACTTGGTATTATATTAAGCATATTAGTCTTCAGTTAAAACAAACTTTTGGAAAATATGCTTGGCCAAGGGATTGGAAAGGACCTGCTACACAATATTGGTGTAGTAATAAATTATACTTACCCAGTAATGAATATATTAAATGCCAAATTGATCTACAATTATAGCTCACTATTCAGCAATATCCTTTAGAACAAATTGCTAAAAGTTATTGGCCTACTCCTGTCTCTGATAATGAAGAAAATACTATACTTAAAACACTCTTTGAAATAAATCTTATCGATGACACCTTTGTTGAAATTCTTTTTAATAAAACACCGATTAATGAATATCTTCTTAGTAACTATAATGCTAATGAAGAAATTGATACTTTTAGTATGAATATTGACTATCATTCAAATATAGAAGAAATAAGTTTGGTACAATATTTGTCAATACATTCCTAGTGGTTATCACCTTTACAGACACCTTCACCAGAACACCTTCTTGAATTTAATAATTATTCAGAACATTATCTTTGTAATGCAGTTTGGTAGAAAGTTGTTAATCTTTTCTACTAATCTTTTATCAGTTCTAATTCCATCTTTTCCTACTATGTGTCTTTAGAATTTATTGTTATTTAGAAAGAAATAACATTTTGCTAGATTTAATTTAAGATTAGCTTCTTGAAGAATAGTAAATATCTGTTGTATATGCTCAAGATGTTGTTCGAAGGTTGGTGAATATATAGTTATATCATCTAAATATACAACTACAAATTTGTTGATATATGGGTGAAGAATTCGATCTATTAAATGTTAAAAAGTAGCAGGAGTATTTGTAAGTTCAAAAGGCATAACATTAAATTCATATGTTTCAAATTTAGTAACAAATGCAGTTTTCTTTTTATCTTCTTCTTTTACAGCAACCTGCTAATATCCACTAGCCAAGTCTAAGCTAGTAAACCAAGAAGCTCTATTAAATGAACTTAAAACTTCTTAAATTGTAGGTAAAGGATAAACATCTTTTTCTGTAACAGTATTAAGCTTTCTATAATCAATACAAAGTCTTTTTCTATTATCCTTTTTTGGTACAATTACTATTGGAGAAGACCAGGGTCCATAAAATTCTCTAATAATTCCTTTTTCTTCCATTTTCTTAATTTCTTTTTGAAAAAATTCTTGCTCGTCAGGAGGGTATTAATATGCTCGTTGTTTAATAGGTCTGGCTTTATCTGTATTTATCTCATAACAGATAATATTTGTTTGCCCTAATTGTTTAGATTGTTCTTCTTCTAAGATATTTTCTGAGAAAATATCAATGTTGTTTGTTAAGAATTAACTTGCTTGTTCTTGTTGCTCTTTAGTGAGTTCTTCATTTATGTTGAATTTAGAATCATCTATAGTATAAATCTTTTCTTCTAACATCTGAGTTAGATAAAAAGCAGGTGTAGTTTCACTATTAATCCAGGGATTATAGAATAATTTATCTACAACAGGAGGCCATTCCTTAATATAATAGGTTTCAAATTCATCATCATCAATTTCATCAATCTATTAATTATCATTATTTTCATTATCAATTTCTTGGTAAATAGAATTTAAACTACTAGTATGAGTAGTATTAATAGTAGCTCTTTTGCCTAGATATCGTACAGTTAAGGTATTATTTTCAAAATCTAATTTAGCTCTAGATTTATTAAACCAGTCTGTTCCTAGAAGAAGAGTTTCATCCATTGACTCGATAACTTGTAAGTCAACAGGGATTATAATATCTTGAATAGTAACTTTTATATTAGAAATTACTTCTAATGCTTTAGTACGTTCACTATTAGCAGTTACAACTATAGTTTTTGAAAGTCCTTAGATATTGAGTCCTAGTTTCTTCATTAGTCTTGCTATAATAATACTAACAGCAGCTCCAGAGTCAAGAATAGCTTGAACAGAATTTCCTTTAATTCTAATATGATATCTCATTGCTGTAGTTTTCTTGAATTTTTCTGATTCAATAAGGTTTGTTTCTGTTAAAGGTTCCTTCTTTTTCTGAATAATTTTAACAAAGTTTTTTCATTGATTAGAGTATTGTAATAGTTGTGCTAGGGTAGCTGAGGATTTCATACTTAAAATATTAACAGAAATATCGTAGGGTTCAATTTTATCAATTACAGAGGGTTGAGTTTTATATTTAGTTCTTGGTCGATTTACTTTTGTAGTTGGTATTTCTTCAGGTATTTCATTAGATACATCTTCCATAGTAGTATCTTTTTCTATTTGAATAAGAGTTATCTTTCTGTTATGTAGATTAAATTCTTTCTGAGATTCGGAACTTTTTGTAATGTGTTTAGCTTTCTTTCTATTAGTAGTATATGGAGTAGACTTTTGATTTTTAGTGATGTAAATTTCTTCTTCATAATCTTTACTATTATTTTCTGCTTCTAAGAAGTTTATATTTCTATTTCTGATTGCATCTTTCTTTAATTGTTTATATTGTTCAGTAGTAGTTTGATATTCAGCCATACAGTTTCTGGCTATATGGTCTGCTTCACCACAGTTATAACAAATGATTTTTGATTGAGATTGAATTTTATTTGGTTGGCTTTATTGGTAATTAACTGGTCTTGGTTTGGGTTTCTCATGAGGTTCAATAAGAGCAGATGCAATAGTTGCATAGTTTAAACTCATTTGTTTCATTTGTTGAGTCAATACCTCGATATCTTTTTCTAATTTGTGAGTATTATTGCTTGAGGATAAGATTAGTTCTATCTGTTGAGCAAAGACTTTTCCTTGTTTATACCATTAAACTAATTGTCAAATATCATTTAGATTTCTAGAATTATGCAACATGATTATAGGTAATAGTTCAGGTTTTACACCCTTTTTAAAGTAATATAACTGTTGAGCAGTATCAGTAATATTACATCTTTTGATTAATTTATTGAATCTACTATAATATAATTCTATTGCTTTATCTGTTCCTTGTTTAATAGCTTCTAATTCACGTAGCTATTTATTTTCTATCATTGAGTATAGAAGTTAAGTTTAAAGTTATCTGTAATAGCGGTCCAGAGATTACCCCAATTTGGTATTTCTGCTATATTTTGAGTTGCATAGAAGGTTGTTTGCTATTCATCAGCAACTCCATATAAGAAACAAGGAAGAATATTTCTTTTTCTTTTACTATCCTATCTATTAGTAGCAGCAGCTTTCTTAAAGCATTCCATCCAAGTATATGGGTTCTGAGTACCATCACTAGTAAATGCTCTACTTTAAGCAGAAAGAATCCACTGGTATTTGCCTTAAGGTAGTTCATAATATCATCAGTTGTTGCAGCCATTGTTAGGTTTATAAATAAAAGGGATTGTTTAAAGGTGGTGAGTATAGAGTTGTCAATAAGGAAGTATTGAATAATAAATCAGAAGTAGCTATCTGATTATTATAAAATAGTAATTCTACTAGAGGGTTTAATTAGGTATAAGCGTTTGGGATTTGTTGTATTCTTTCTATGAGTTGATCAAGAGGTTCAGTATTATCTAGTTTTTCTTTAGATAAATAAAGTGGGTTTTTCTCAAAACAGTCAGTATATAATGATAATACTGCAATTCCTCCAATTATTTCACGAATATCACCAGGTGAGTTGTTATATCTAATACTATATATTATCTTGAAAATAAGATTTTTGTGTTGAGATAATTCAAATTGCAAATAAATATTCCTAAAATTATTAAAGTATTCTAATGTTTTGCTAGTAAAGTTTATTGCAAGGTATTGTTTACTATACCAAGTAATAAAATTATAAAAAGGAGTAAATAATATAGGAGTTAAAATAGAGTAACAGATATCACAAGAATCGTCTGGTTCAATAAGTAGATTCAAGGTATGTTGTTTTTAATGTCTAATTATATTTGTTAAATGCTTTGTAAAATCAAAAATCATTCAAAATTATAACTTAAATATACTAAATCAGAGAAATAGGTATTATAAAAGAGTTCCTTACACCTACACTTTGGCTCATGGAGAACAATTAAAAGATTAAGAGAAAAAGACTTTTACAAGTCAATAGTAGCTTTAACTTGTTTGAGTTGAGCAAAATAAAGGTCAGCAAGCTTTAAATCTTTTATAGTAAAGATGAAAGAACTGTCTGTTTGTTTAGTTGAATCAATTAATTTATCAATTTTTTTCTCAAGGTAGTCTTTGTAAGAAGGTGTCTTCAATACTTGAGTATTCTCAATATGTTGTAGTATTTGTAAAGTTGCAATTCCTCGTCTAGTCATAGATATCACTCTCAATAACTATACAAATTTTTAATTTTTGAAAAAAGTATCATTTTAGAGTGTTTGATACTATGCTATTATTTGTTCTTATTTAGAAAAGAATTGTTCTTTGTTTCTTTGCGGTCCTAATGGTGGTCAAAAATCTAAATTCGTTGAATATTTCATTGAGATATTAGTGTCCAAAGTTTGTGTAACCAATGTTATTGGGTTTCTTGAAGAAGCTTTCTCTAACTTTCTTTGCAGATTAAAATCGCTAAAACTATTTTTAAACGCGAATAGCGGGTTTCAGAAAGATTTTCTACTAAAGTAATATTTAGTACAAAAGATGCAGTAGGTTTTCAAGAATATACAGTAAAATTTCAGATAGTTTAGTTCAAAACTGATCGACTTTTCTTAGTAGTGAGTAACTTCAATTTTCTTAGGTAAAGGAGAACTTTATCTCACAGTCATCACCAAATTGTCAAATAGGGAATTCACCTCTTCTAGAGTTCCCAGAAACTGCTGATTATAGTATGAAGACTATAACTTTACAGCTTGTTATATAGCATCTAGAATTAAGACTTAACAAAGAGGTTTTTGTAGTGATTTATGTTAGGGCTAAGAGGCAAATAATAAATAGTATATGAAGATACTAAGTATTATATCTTTATTAAGAATTGTATGAAGATAAGACTGCTTTGCTCAAAGAGCAGAAAGGCAGTGCTTTTATAGATAATTTATATGTATAAATAATTACAATAAAGATAAGTTAACTAACTAAAATAACTATAAATAGTAATAATAAATAATACATATAATAGAAATAATATATATAAGAGATATAGTATAAATATGATATATGGTATATCTGGGATATATGATAGATATAATAGATCTAGTAGAAATAGTAGAAAGTGTAGAAATAGTAGATGGAGTAGAAATCATTCATTTTAGGCATAGTTGTAATCATCTAATCAGAATTAAGTCACATGTTATACATGAATTAATATTCTCAAATCTTTAATGATCTCGGAATTCTGTGATCCAAATCACGTGATCTTATACTCATTAGAACTGTCTCGATATGCTGATTCCAATGGTATAAGTTTTATTAAGATTGGATTGGTAGTTCAAAAGTTATTAGCAAAATATGAATTTTACTATTATAACACCATGCTAAACACAGGCTTGCCTTATATTTTCATTTACTTTTCCAGATATTGGATGCCATTCATTGATTTTATTAGTAAGTCAGCTTCTAGCATAGTTTGCACCAAATACCTGCTCTGCTAAATTAACAACTTTTAGAGACTCTGAAGAAATTAATTTCTTTTCCTTATTGATTATTCTTTTCTGATATTGCTAATCTATTGTATCATTGACTAGTTGTTTGCATGCTTCTATAATTTCTGTATGCTTTTTCCATAGTCTAAATATGCAACCATCTTCTAGAACAAACTGGGATATTGTTTGACTTGTATTCCCTACTCCCATAAGCCAGATTGCTTGAGATTCCCTGAGGGCTTTACTGATAGCTTCCTATATATCATCCTTATAATATTTGACTATTTGATCTCTTAGAAAGTGCTAGTTTCTTAGAAATGCATAGCCATTATGAACTACTATTCTGATTTCTTCATACTTATCTGATCAATACTTTCTACTATTAAATATAGTACCATAAGTTATATTAAGTAATATAATTGGTCGCTTGAGAATTTTTTCTAACTCTGCTACATTATATACTCGAGCACTTAGAATGTGTATTTTTTTCTCCTAATTATTTATTTTTTGCTGATGAATTTTTGTAAGTCCATGTCCTTTTTTGGCTTGATTAAAATGCTCTATTACTTGTTCAGCTACACAGTTAAGTGTACTATCCTTTATAGGCATTAATAAATTGATATCTGGCTTTCAGATTTGATATAATCTATAAACTACTGCATTGCTATCAAGTCTTTCTACTTCAGATTGCTCACTGACTTCTCTGACCAGAAATTTTTTATCTATTCCTACTCAAAATCTTGGTTTCGTTTTCTTTGTAAGTATAATATTAGAGCTACCTCTGATGTATTTTCTACCTGCTTTTTTTGATTCATGAATAGGCTCATATTTATTAATAATTTTAAAAGTAATCTTTGTTTGAGATTCATCTCCATATACAGAATCATTTCTAATAAATTTTACTCTTATTAAAAACTCGCTATTGTCAATTGCATTTAAAATTTCTTAGGCTCGCTCTTCAGTCATCCTAGCTTCATATTTTTGGATTCTATTTCC